TTATGTTCTATTTTCTTAACAAGAGACTAATGTTGGCTGAGTTCATGTTTGGCTGTAATCTGCCGCTCTCTTCGATTTCCCTCACCATTCTGAAAAATGTTGGAGCCAGAATGATCCAGAATTCTTTGTAGAACTCTGCTGGAAACCCGTCTGGACCTGGAGCTTTCCTATTAGGCATGGATTTAAGGGCTTCCTGGAGCTCAGCTGATGCTAGTGTCGAGTCCAGGACTGTAGCTTGGCTGTCTGATAATTTAGGAAGTGTTATCCTGTCAAGGAACTCATCGATCTCGTTATCTGATGGGTTTATCTGTGGTGAGTACAAAGTTTGGTAAAAGTCTCTGAAAGTGTTGTTTATTCTTTCAGGGTCATAAACTATATTACCGGTTGAGTCTTTAACAGCAGATATGGTAGTTTTCTCTTTAATAATTTTTAACTGGCTAGCAAAAAATTTACCTGATTTATTACTATGTTCAAAGTTTTCTATTCGTAGTCTTTGTGCTAAAAATTGTGTCTTTTTGTCAATAATTCCAAGAAGTTCTAATTTAGCTTTATGTAATTTGCTCAGTAACTCTTCTTCTGTGGATGCCTCTAAAGACTTAATGATTTCTTCTAACTCCTGAATACATTTGTTTTCTGTTTTTTTCTTATGTGATGAGAAAGAGATTATTTTACCTCTCATCACTGCCTTTCCTGCCTCCCAGAGAGTAGATGCTGATGTTCCAGGCAGGTCATTATGTTCTAATATAAAGCCCGCTCCTTTAAAAAAAAAAATCAATAAAACCTTCGTCTTTAAGCAGTGATGTATTAAACCTCCAGTTTTTGTTTGGTGGGATTGTCTTATTGTTTACCAGAGTTAATGAAACTGGAGCATGGACGCTGACAGCTATGGGGTGTATCTCAGTGTCTGGAATGTCAGCCAACAATGAGCTGCTGACTAGAAAATAATCCAAACGTGAATGAGAGTGATGGACGTATAAGAAAAAAGTATAGTCTACGGTTAGGATGAAGAGATCGCCATGCATCACAAAGCCCATAATCACTCATGTACTGTTTAACTACCGTAAATCCTCTAATACAGGCCCGGGCCTGTATTTGACTCAAGCTCATCAAGCTCCAGGCCTTTATTGGAAGGAGGGCCAGTATTAGAGGCAGGCCTATATTTCTATTTGAGCAAAATGAACTAGCAGTAGAATAAATAAAAACGGGGTGTCTATTTGAACCTATAAAATACTAGGTTCATTTATTGAAAATGTACAGTTACCATAACGTGGTACGGTTTGCATATAAAACATTAACAAGGCTAAATTACAGTAAGGAAATACTGTATTGTAACAAAACAATAGCAAACATACCTGTACTGTAAATTAAATGTTACTAAATAATACCAGTATTAGAAAAGGCAACAGCCACCTTACCGCTTCAGTTGTAGTAAAAAATAAAATAAAAACCCCTCAAATTCAGTTCAACATTTGTCCCGTTTAAAGTAAAAAAAAAATAAATAAATAAATAAAAAAAACAATACCGGTAATCCAATTCACTTTAATCCTCATCCAGTTTGATGGGAAAAAAAAATGTGTGTGTGTGTGTGTGGGGGGGAATCAAATTCAGCTTAATCTTCGTCGTCCTCAGTGTCCTCCTCCTCATCTCTCCCTGTCGTCTCCTCATCACTTGCGCCATCCTCTATAACAAGTTCATTATTGAACAGCTCCTCTTCGTTCCCCTCATTCTCTGCTGCACGTCTGTTCTCATCCAGGCGCAGGCAGGCAGCGGTCAGGGCCTGCCGTCCAGCAGCGCAGGGCTGCAAAGATTACCATTCATTACATTTTAGTTTAGCTGCAATTGCAAGTAACAGTGGAAAGGTTCACTCATGAATGGAATTAATCTAATGGTAGATGAATTAGACTGATAATGACACATTATTTCAACGTACCTGTCCGTCTCTGAAGCACAGTATGAGGTGGTCCTCACTCCCGTCGGGTTTCACAGACTCTCCACACACTTTGAAGGACTTGATGACCAGCTCCGTGTCCAGCTTGTCCCAAGCAGCGAGAACCCAGTCCACAAGCAGACGGCGAGATGGTGCTTTCAGGTTCCCTCAACTTGTGTATTGCTTGTTTGTGTCACCATACATCCACTCTTCATAAGACGCATGCAGGCTTGCTTTGAAGGGCTGGTTCCACACAACATCGGGGGCTTGTATGTACTTGGTGCAGCCTCCTGGGATCACCGCGGTGGTGATGTTGTAGGGCTTCAGTTCCTGCTTGGTGGAGGCGCTGATGTGACAGTGGTACGCATCCCACACCAGCAGGCGCGGGTGGAAACTGAATTTTCCCACCACTGTTTTGAGCCAGGCTGAGGTCAAGTCGTCATTCATCCAGCCGTTAGCAGATGTAGCAATGACTGCTCTGATGATTTCTTGCTGCATTGCCTTCACTTCACGGACGGCCCCACGGAAAAAAATAAAAGGCTTCAGTTTAGAGCCATCAGCCTTAGCAGCTAGAACAACAGTGAGATGGCTTTTCTCATGGCCAGTTGTTTTGAGCGCGACACTTTTTGTCCCTCTTACATCAATGGTACTGGGAGACACCATATCAAACCAAACAGCAGTCTCATCCATGGCAATTATGTCCTTCTCTGAAATTCTTTTCGAGACGACAGTCTTACTCACATAGTCGACGAATGAGACAAGTTTCTGTGTGAGAAGATCGGGATCCTTCTGCGCCATTGTGGTGCGACGTCGCAAAGCGAAGCCATTTCGGTTCAAAAACTTTTCCAGCCAACCCCTGCTTGCCAGGAATCGCGCACCTGCGTCACTCATGGTTGGATATATTTCCAAAGCCTCGTTTTGGATCATTTTTCTCGACACTCGGTTATGATTTGCCCTCATTAAATGGATCCAATTACAAAGCTCTGTGTCCAATTCTTCGCTAACCTTTTTTCTCCCTCCTCCTGGGAGCCTCGCTCGCTTCTTGCTAGCTGCGGCTAGATCCATTTTCTGCTTTTTCCAGTACCTGATTCTTCTTGGGTCGATGTTAAAACGTTTAGCAGCTTGCTCCCCAGAGTGTTCTGCAGCATAAATCAGCACGTTCTCTTTGAACTTTAAATCTAAATTTCGCCTCCTCTTCGGCTCTGCACGCTCCGCACCAGCCATGTTCACCGTAGTTACCCTCGTGGTCTATTACTGGCAAATCAAATGTGAGACGAATGGCACTACCGCCCCCCTGTGGTACTTGCCTGTTACCACATTCCACCTGGCCACAATAAGAAGCCGGCCATTATTCACCTCCGCCAACTCCGGCCAAAATTGGAGACCCGGCCTTTAATTGAATACCGGCCTGTATTAGAGGATTTAAGGTATATTAGTGGATTGCCAATTGCGCTGAGTCCCAGCTGTACTGAGCCTGTCTGGTAAAGAGTTCATCCAAAAATTTAAATCGCCGCCAAGTATAAGTGGACAGTCATGAAAGAATGAAGGGTCATCAATATTTGGACAGTATATGCTGACAATACATAAGCTTTGGTTCTGTACAGATATTTTTAACATTATAAATCTACCCTCTGGATCAGAGACTGTGTCCAATACTGTGAAATTGATGTTTTTGTGTATTAAAATATGTAGCGGAATATAGTTGATATATTCTTGCACTTATTAAGGTAAAGAGGTTAATCTTACCTTAGGATCAGAAGAGGTTGTTTTTACTACAGGGAATTTTATTCAAACACTCTGTATTGACTTAGAGACAAGAAAAGAGAAATATGGGACGTTTAAGAATATTTATTTTATAATTATTCGAAACAATCACCAGGACTAACTCACTAATGATGGATGCAAATGGAGGTGAGCTGAAGTGTTGGTGTGTGTTTGTGTCAGCTCAGAATCTCCGTTCTGATGGAGGCAGGTCTGAGTGTGAGATGTTGGTTTGTCTAACTGATCACGAAGGACATCAGGAGGAAGACATGAGACGCTATCTTGCCGGCTACGTACCTTCGGAGACTCCCGTGCATGATCCGGAATGCCAGGTCCTCTGACCCTCCTTGTGCTGGAGCTGGCGAAACAGCGGTCGGCAGCACGACAAACCAGTCTACGGATCGACTCACGGTACGACGGCAGGTTTCAGCGTCATGTGGAGAGTTCAGCTTTTATTCTGAAGGAACCGTCGTCTTGTTGATAAAACGACAGAATTTTTCCAGTTTGACAGTTCTCAGCTTAAAGTAGAAAATACAGCTGGCCAGTCTGTACTTTACTTAGCGATGATAGATTTGAGAGCTGATTGAGCTACGTTGAAGAGCTTCGTTGGAACTCGATGGAAACTCAGATGGAACTGAATTAAAATGGCGTTGTTCTGTTTTATTAAGCTTAGTTGTTTTTTAATCTTAGCCAATCGGAGTGGACAGATTAGCTAAACATCACAGAACTCTGCCTCGCAACAGAACGGAAGTTCTGATTGGATGAATGCAATGTGTCATGTGTTTGCCTTATGTGAATCAGGATGTCTAGCTCAGTTAGTCCTGTTATCATTAAAACACATAAATCATAACATATTGATTTCACAGATCAGTCACCTGATTATTATTGACTAACAGTTGTTTTGATTAGCTTTATTAGAAATAAAGTTCTTTGATTAACTAATGAAAAGCGTTCTTCATCCTTCTTCTGTCTTCTTTGCTGGAATGTAAACATCAGAAGCAAGCACACGACCTTGGCAATTTATGCACACTGTCACTGTGTCAAAGGGCAGCTGTTAAGGGCAGAAAATAGCATATTCATAACGCTACAAATAGCTACACCTCTTTTCCTAGAGCAGGGGTGTCAAACTCATTTTAGCTCAGGGGCCACATTGAGGAAAATCTAGCCCCAAGTGGGCCGGACCAGTAAATTAAAAACAACTTCAGATTGTTTTGTTTTCTTTGTTTTAATACAATCAATATAAAACAAAGCTGGAGCCTGAGGACAGTGTATCCCAAATAGTACAAGCACAACATCACTATTAATAAAACACCTGAATTATATTTGAAATTTTCAAATACAAAAAAAATAAATTCCTCAGTGATTCAAAGAACTAGATCACATGGCTATATCAGAGTTTCATGCAGCACTTTAAGTTTATTTGACTCCTGATAACTGACATCTTTTAGCTTTCACCAGAGCATCAATATCAGGAGTCACATCCTGAGTGACAGCTAACTTCAGGATGTGATTCAAGTTCTTGTGTGTGAGCTTCGAGCGCAGCTTTGTTTTATTTATACTCATTACAGAGAAAACTTGCTCACAAAGATAAGTGGTTCCAAACATGCTCAACAGTTTTGCAGCAAGAGCTGTCAAGTTGGGGTAACCAGGTTAAAGGTTTTGATAAAATGTGTCCAAGCCAGCTGTGACAAATTTGCCCTTCAAATCCGAGTCACACTGCAAGTCTATTATTTCAAGTTGGATGCTGGTGGGGAGATCAGAGGGATTCACGGTGAATGGGGAGCAAAAAATTCTGAAGTCCTTCTCAAGTTCATCAAAAATCTGAAAGCGTAGCTCAAACTCCCTCAACAGTCCCGTTATTTTATCTTTGAACCGCTTCATGTCGCCTTCATGTTGGGACGCACACACTTTTTTCAGACAGGGGAAGTGAGCTGCGTCATTAACAGCGAGTTGCGTCTCCCACAAAGACAGCTTTAACTTGAAAGAACGTATGCAGTCGTAATACTGCATGACAACTTTGCGGCCTTGCAGCTGTTTGTTCAAGTTATTAAGGTGCTCTGTAACATCCACCATAAATGCAAGGTCCTGTACCCATTCTGCGGAACGAAATTCTAACACTGGTTTGCCTTTTTCTTCCATGAACTGTTCAATTTCTTCTCGTAAATCATAGAAACGCCTCAGCACGGCACCTCGGCTTAACCGCCTTACCTCAGTGTGGTATGGCAGGCTATAGATGTGGTCGTTTTCTCTGAGAAGGCTGTCAAACTGACGGTGATTCAGGCTTCTGGATGGAATTAAATTAACAGTTTGGGTGACCACTTTCATGACGTTATCCATCTTTAATGACTTGCAACACAAACTCTCCTGGTGCAAAATACAGTGAAAAGTCCAAAAATCACCTCCTCCATTTGCAGATTGCACTTTCTCTCTGAACTTTGTCACAACACCTGATTTTCTCCCAGTCATTGAGGGTGCGCCATCTGTAGCGAGGCTTACAGCACGGGACCATTGCACTCCGACCCTGTCCAGCGCTCCAACGAGTGCGGTGAAAATATCAGCTGCTGTTGTTGTATCCGTCATGGGCTCCAGCTCGACAAACTCCTCGGTGACGGTCAACGTGTCATCAACTCGGCAGATGAAAATCGCCAGTTGAGCAACATCTGTAATGTACATGCTTTCATCAATAGCAACTGAAAAAGCAATAAAAGGACTTTACTTTTTCCCTTAATTGGCTGTCCAAATCCGCTGAAATATCGGAGATCCTGTCTGCTATTGTGTTTCTGGTCAGGCTGATATTTGCAAAAGCTTGGCGCTTTTCAGGGGACACAATCTCCGCTGCCTTCATCATGCACGTTTTTACAAATTCCCCCTCACTAAATGGTTTTGAAGCCACTGCAATTTCATTAGCAATCAGCTTTCACTGCAGCATCACTGATATCTCGGCTGTGAGTAAACGCAGACTGCTTTTTCTTCAGTCCGGCCAACAGTTCATTCACCTTCTCTCTTCTCCGCTGTCCTTCAAATTGGTCATATTTTTCGGCATGAAGACTCACATAATGGCGACGGAGATTATATTCTTTCAGCACTGCAACGTGCTGTGAACACACCAAACACACAGCGTTGTCGTTCACTTCCGTGAAAAAAATAGGAGGATGTCCATTTTTCTTGGAACAACCTGCACTCTGTATCCACTTTTCTCCTTTTTGACAGAGACACCTTGGGCTGAAGCACAAAATATAGACGCTGTATGAGATTTTGGAGGCAAAACAAAATAGCTCGTCAGAACACCTGTTGCACTTGAGTGACGAATTTGCTCTGGCTGAGGATAAACGGCTTGCTTGCTTAACACAATGCCTATTGCACCATCTTGTGGATGCATTGGGAACAGCAGTTCTTTTAATTTAAAAATTAGAATTTATTTTCACTCTACAATGTTTATCAAAGTTTACACAACCATCTCGCGGGCCGAATCTAACCTGTTTGTGGGCCAGAACCGGCCCGCGGGCCGTATGATTGACACTCCTGGCCTAGAGTTATAGCAGGCAGAGAACATGCTGGGAAACTCAAGTGTTTAAGTTCATCTGCGGATGTAGCAGATCTATGAGTCCCTTGTAATAATATTATGTCTGCTTGCACTCTCTTTAGCTGATCAAAAATCTTTATTCTTTTCTCTATGGAGCCAGCTTCATGTACATTCCATGAGACAAACCTTAGTGCACCCATAGATGTGTGTGTGTGTGAGTAGCTAAAATATGACGCCTTCATGTGAATAAGATGGAATAAGTAACTAAATATATAAAATAGTATGTTAATAATAACAGAAAAGTAAATAATACTACTAATAATAAAGATCCAACAGTGTTTGTGGTTGTATTATTTGACGCATAAATTATGATATTGTGCTGTGGATTTAATATATATAATTTGTGTGTGTGTGCGTGTGTGTGTACGTGTGTGCTGAGTCTGACGCAATGTTGGAAAGTTGTGTGGTTGTGCCATACAGGTGTAAAGGTACAGAAGCAGGTAAAGAGGAAAGGAAAATACAGATACAGGTTAAAAAAGAAGAAGGAACTAAAAAGAAAAAGTGATAGGGTTGTGAGGTGGTGATGAACAACAGGTGATCTCATCATCTAGAGTACGGATTTAGCAGCTGTTTAATCCTGATGTGATCAAACCCAGTGAATCCTGATAAGAATAATAAATGTCTGACCTGATGTTGGGCTAATACAGCCAGTCAGTCACTCCTCGCTCCTTGTAAAGTTTATTGTCCACGTAAAGCTTATCCACTGAGATGACAGCCCTCTTCCCATCCTGGATAAACTTTTTGCGCAGCAGAAAGAGGACTCTGCGCCGATCCAGGATTTCCTTAGGGAACTGGTCATTTACGCTGAAGTCTTTTCATTTGAGCTCTCTTCCGTGACTTTTAACAAGATCCTTCTGCTTAAAATGTTCAAATTTAGCCACGATGGGATGAGGTCTTCTGCTGTCCACTCTTTTAGCTCCAAGGCGATGTACCCGGTGAAAGGTGATGTTTTTTACTGTTTCTTCGGGTATCTTCATTTGGGTCTGGAGAAAGTTCTTGATTGTACAGGTGCTGGCCAGTAAATTAGAATATCATCAAAAGGTTGAAAATATTTCAGTAATTCCATTCAAAACGTGAAACTTGTACATTATATTCATGCAATGCACACAGACCAATGTATTTCCAATGTTCATTACATTTAAATTTGATATTCATAGGTGACAACTAATGAAAACTCCAAATTTGGTATCTCAAAAAATTAGAATATTCTGAAAAGGCTGAATATAGAAGACACCTGCTGCCACTCTAATCAGCTGATTTACTCAAAACACCTGCAAAGGCCTTTAAAAGGTCCCTCAGTCTTGTTTTGAAGGCACCACAATCATGGGGAAGACTTCTGACTTAACAGCTGTCCAAAAGACAATCATTGACACCTTGCACAAGGAGGGCAAGACACAAAAGGTGATTGCTAAAGAAGCTGGCTGTTCGCAGAGCTCTGTGTCCAAGCACATTAACAGACAGGCGAAGGGACGGAAAAAATGTGGTAGAAAAAAGTGTACAAGCTCTAGGGATAACCGCACCCTGCAGAGAATTGTGACGACAAACCCATTCAAAAATGTGGGGGAGATCCACAAAGAGTGGACTGCAGCTGGAGTCAGCGCTTCAAGAACCACCACGAGGAGACTCATGAAAGACATGGGATTCAGGTGTCGCATTCCGTGTGTCAAGCCACTCTTGAACAAGAAACAGCGCAAGAAGCGTCTCGCCTGGGCCAAGGACAAAAAGGACTGGACTGATGCTGAGTGGTCCAAAGTTATGTTTTCTGATGAAAGCAAGTTCTGCATTTCCTTTGGAAATCAAGGACCCAGAGTCTGGAGGAAGAGCGGAGAAGCACAGAATCCACGTTGCATGAGGTCCAGTGTAAAGTTTCCACCGTCAGTGATGGTGTGGGGTGCCATGTCATCTGCCGGTGTTGGCCCACTCTGTTTCCTGAGGTCCAGGGTCAATGCAGCCGTCTACCAGGAAGTTTTAGAGCACTTCATGCTTCCTGCTGCTGACCAACTTTATGGGGATGCAGACTTCACCTTTCAACAGGACTTGGCACCTGCACACAGTGCCAAAACCACCAGCACCTGGTTCAAGGACCATGGTATCCCTGTCCTTGATTGGCCAGCAAACTCGCCTGACCTTAACCCCATAGAAAATCTATGGGGTATTGTGAAGCGGAGGATGCAATACGCTAGACCCAACAATGCAGAGGAGCTGAAGACGACTATCAGAGCAACCTGGGCTCTCATAACACCTGAGCAGTGCCACAGACTGATCGAGTCCATGCCACGCCGCATTACTGCAGTTATTGAGGCAAAAGGAGCCCCGACTAAGTATTGAGTGCTATACATGCACATTCTTTTCATGTTCATTCTTTTCAGTTGGCCAACATTAGAGAAACAAACATTTTTTCATTGGCCTTTAGAATATTCTAATTTTCTGAGATACCAGATTTGATGTTTTCATTGGTTGTCACCTATAAATATCAAATTTAAATGTAATGAACATTGGAAATACATTGGTCTGTGTGCATTGCATGAATATAATGTACAAGTTTCACGTTTTGAATGGAATTACTGAAATATTTTCAACCTTTTGATGATATTCTAATTTACTGGCCAGCACCTGTATGCTTGCAGTTCTCCGCCCTTCCCGTCTGCTCCGGCAGGCCTGCGAACACCAAATTATCCCTCACGCTACGGGCCTGAAGGTCCAAAACCGTTTCTTTCAGAGTCTTGTTGTCCTGGGTGATCCGCGTCATTCCCTCTCCCAGGGAAGAAATGGACTCCCGCAGAGACGTGTTCTCAGCAGCGAGCCGCTCAACCTGCTCTTGGCTGAACTCCAAAGATGTTCGGAGGCTCTGAAACTCCTGGTGTAGAACTTCTAGCAGATGAAGTCGTCCCTCAAATCCCAGAAGCCGTTTATCTATAGAATCTAATAATTCTAATATGTCCTTACGGGGCGATGAGGCCTCAGGCAAGTCCTGAGGATGGCTCCTCTTGGTCCCAGGTGTTTCAGGCTCAGCTGCTGATTTCTTCGGACCCATGACGAAAAACTCAAAAACTCTGTCAATATATTGCAACCTTTCTAAATTTTCTTCACTTACCTCCAGATTGAGTATACTTAACAGATTATTTTTTCCGTTGTCAGTAGATAAATTAGGCAAAAATGCGTCTTAATTGTTTGTGGATGTTTGCCAACGAGCTGCAATCAGGTTCAAACGCTGCCGTGTATCCGGTGATCGGCCGTCAGCGCATGCTCAGCTCCTGTGTCCCTCACAGACTGTTGTCCGTATGGATGTCCGCCAACGTTTTGAGACCCTCCGGTTCCTCATCGTCACTGCTTCAATGTCTCCATTGATCCTGGGCCATTCCTGGTTCCTATGCCACAACCCCCAGATCTCCTGGTCCTCTGGTCAGGTACTCACCTGGGGTGTGTCCTGTCACACCCATCGACCCCCTCAGTTCACCTCTGATCCTGACCTTCCTGTTCCTGAGGATGTTGATCTGTCACAGTTCCCCTCCTGTTACCATGACCTTGCCCAGGTCTTCTCTAAATGCCCGACTACCATCCCGCCTCCTCATCGTCATACGACCTGGAGATCTGACTCCTGCCCGGCATTGTTCCACCTCGGGGCCGCTTGTTCTCCCTGTCCCCAGCAGAGACTCAGGCCATGGACGCCTACATCTCAGAGTCTCTCCAGCGCGGGTTTATCTGCCAGGGGCAGCGTGTTTCTTTTTTGTGAAGAAGGAAGGGGACCTTCGACCGTGCATCGATTATCGGAGCCTGAATAAGATCACTGTCCGTGATCGTCACCCTCTGCCTCTGATGACCACCGCCCTGTACACTGTGTCCCAATCCACCATTTTCACTAAGTTGGACCTGCGCAGTGCCTACAATCTAGTCAGGATCAAACAGGGCGACGGATGGAAGACTGCCTTCATCACTCCGACCGGCCACTGAGAGTACTTGGTGATGCCTTTTGGCTTATGCAATAGCCCCCGCAGCCTTCCAACGCCTAATCACTGATGTTCTGCGAGATATGTTGGGCAGGTGGGTTTTCATCTATCTGGACAATATTCTGATTTACTCCCGAACCCATGGGGAACACATCTCACATGTCTGAGCCGTCCTCTCCCGGCTCTTGGAGAACCAGCTCTACTGCAAGCTAGAGAAGAGTGCTTTCCATCAAGAGACCACCTCCTTCCTGGGGTTCATTATCTCATCCCGTGGCCTGTCAATGGACCCTCAGAAGATCCAAGCAGTGGCCCAGTGCCTCTGCCCACTTTCTTAAAACACTTCCAGAATTTTCTGGGATTCTCCAACTTCTACCAGTGTTTCATTCGTGGTTTCAGCACCATTGCGGCCCCTCACAATGCCCTAAATAAGCCGTCCAACCAAACGCGTCCTTTCCGCCTCACCTCCAAGGCCACACAAGCTTTTAACACTCTGGTCCACCGCTTTACCACTGCTCCTATCCTCGTGCACCCCGCCCCGGCAAAACCCTTCATGGTGGAGGTGGATGGCTCGGAAGTACGAGCCAGGCAGTTCTCTCTCAATGCAGCTCAGACTCTAAGCTCCACCCTTGCACCTACTTCTACCATAAATTCTCCCCAAACCAGCAGAATTACGGAGTGGGAGACAAGGAGCTCCTAGCCATTAAATGGGCATTAGAGGAATGGTGGCAATGGTTAATGGGTGTGACAGAACCATTTACCATCTGGACGGATCACCTTAACCTTATCCACATACAGACCGCCAAACAACTTAATCCCCGTCAAGCTCGCTGGGCACTGTTTTTCTAACCT